CTCGTGTTAACACAGTCTCTGCTACACAGGTCTGGAGACAGTGAGGATAGTAAAACGCCAAATGACCTGGAAAGAAGGCTGCGATTTTCCACACTCTTCACTGACACCCTTGACTGGGGTATCACTGGGGGATTGCTGACGATCCTACATGAAGGGTTCAAATCCACATGAGTGAATGCATGTGCTTGCTTTACTTCTCCTCTCTGCTGCCAAAGGTTTACTGATTTGTGCAACTACACAAATAACTTCCTTCCCACCCTCCTCCTACTGTGTTTTTCAAGCAGGCAAGCCGGGCACAAAGTAGCAGAAGCATTAGTTAATTCCTCATTACCTGTTGTAGCTAGAACTGACACCATAATCTATGGCATCACTCATCTTCCTCTTTTCAGTTAACAGCTGAATTTGGCAGTTAAGAATTAATGGCCAATTAAGAAGCGAATTCTCAAATCCTACTTCCTAACCTCTCAAGTGAACGTAAGCCCTGGTGGTTTGAATGAGAACGGCCCCCAAAGGCTCATATATTTGAATGCTTAGTCCCCACTTAGTGGAACTGTTTGGGAAGGATTAGGAGGTGTGGCCTTTCTGGAGTACAGGTGGCCTTCTTGGAGTGTGTCACTGGGGGTGGGTATTGATGTTTTCAAAAACCCATACCAGGCCCAATCTCAGTATCTCTCTGTCCTCACCTTTCCTCTCTTCTCCTCTCCTCTCCTCTCTTACCCTCTCCCATCTCCCCTTTCTCCCTCTCCTTCCCCCCCCCCTCTCTCTCCTCCCTCCCCCCCTCTCCCTCTCCCTTCCCCTTCTCTTTGCCTGTTGCCTATGGATCAGGATGCAAGGCTCTCAGCTACTGCTGCTCTACTGCCATGCCTGTCTGTTTCCTGCCATTATGATCATGGGCTAATCCTCTGAAACTGTAAGCAATCCCCCAAATAAATACTTTTATGAGAGCTGCCTTGGTCATGGTGTTTCTTCACAGCACTAGAACAGTAAGAAATTAGATAAGAAATAAGAAATTAGATGTCTTATTCACTGACATATCTGCAGGACCTAGAATAGGACCTGGAACAATTATTTGTTCCATATAAATAACTACGTTATCATTTGTTCAGTGACTGAGCATTAATATGAATAGTCATGTCCTTAAGAAAAGAGTGCTACAGAACTATCATGAAACTGTCAGGTAATGTTGATTGTTATTCAAATACTATACTAGATTGTTCACCTGGCCCATTTTCCATTCCTTTTAGAAGCATGTGCCTTCATAACATCATAAATCTGCATGGGACGGCTCCTTCTGTACCCTAAACATAACACATCATAGAAAGCAGACCTCTACCTATTTGAATCTAGTTAGAGATACAAAATATTTAATCTTTAGGCATGTTGAGGAACTGATTTCTTCGAAGAAGAACATACATTTAAGCCTATAGCCACACTACCTAAGATTGTAAAACAATATTAAGATTCAAATGAAATGACACACACACACACACACTTTAGTGTAAGCCTGAAAACAATTCATATTATTAGTACATATTACTGAAAACATTCCCTCGGCAGTATCCTGCTTTAAACTCCAGCCCTACTCACCTGACTATGACATACTCAATGGAATTCACTCATTTATTTACAGATATTTTTCTTTATAACTATGAGACTGGGAACTGGGCTTTATAGCTTTGCATTTTCAATACATAGCAAATAAAAAGCTATTGATAAGCTGTAAATAGATACAGCTGAATATTAACCTAAATGTAAGAAGGGCTGGGGAGCTGGAAAGATAGCTTAGCAGTTAAGAGCAGTTGCTGCTCTTCAAGAGGACTAGAGTTGGATTCCCAACCATCTGTAACTCCAGCTCAAGGGCATCTGATACCCACTTCTGACCTTCACAGGCACCAGAAATGCATGTAGTATTAAGTATACATGCAGGCAAAACACTTATACAAGTAAAATAGAATTCAATCAAATTTAAAAGTAACATGTAACATCAATTAGTCAAAGAAGTTGAAAAGTATTTCCACAAATTCAAAAGGACTTCTGCAATTATGCAAGGGGTAATACTTTAGAAAAAGAAAATCAAGTAATTATTAATTACAAATGAGAAAAAACACAACTTTCCAGGACTTACTCATTAGAAATGCTATTCCTATCTTATATTGAAAATTATAAAATTATATTTTATTATAATCAGTCCAAAATTTAAGAAGTAAAAGGGAAAGAAAATGTGGTCTTATTCTCTAAGATTTCTGTCTTTAAAAGGTTTTGTAAGCTGACTGAACAACTGAGAATCAAATGATAGCTTAAGCACTAAATTTTCATGACACTGTCAACCCAAAATGAGTTCTTGTCATGAAATGCCATGTGCTTCGTTATAATCTCAAGCCTTTGTGAGCATGTTATGACTGTGGCCAAAGTAGTGGAAAACAATAGTGTCTCTAAATCAATCATGGGCCATGAAGCCAGACAGACTGTATGACAGATGCAATTTCTCTTGGCACCAGTTGGGCGTAACTAATTGATGACAATCGTATGTCCATATTGGCATGTTTCCATGGGGGATGTGTGTGGATATGTCACCACATCTGGATGCAGGCATGTGGGGGTCCAGAGGCACAAAGACCTACTAAACCAGAGGCCCGGCAGCTGCACTCAATGAACACCGTGGGAGCTGCACAGAGTGATGAAAGGACCAAATCACCACAAACTGTAAATACAGACTTATTTCATTAAAGCGCGAGGTAACTGCTGCAGCCACCTCTCATGCAGACAGACATGTGCCTCCTTATAAAAAAAGAAGCTACAGCATCTATGTGTGTGTGTATACTTTGTCAGTAAAATCTTCAATTCTCCCATAAAAAGATAATGACACACACATAAAGCAAAATTAAAGTTTCCCTGATTTCCTTTAAATAAGGAAAATCCACACAGAAACTAAGCTGCATCTGACAGGCCCCTGCCAGCGTCTACTAGGGTTCCCTTCCACTTCATTCAAATTCAAATGCCTCGTCACAAAGCCTATGCTGAAAATCAACACATAACAGTAAGATGTACAATATATCATGTAACTCCATCTTTAATACAAAAGAAAGATGAATATAAACTAGTATTCTTTATAACTCACAACTATAGAAATCAGGCTGAGCAATAATTTTATTCCAATTCTACATTATGACTTATCAATAGCAAGTGTTTTTTAATAATCATGCAAAACCATGAGGTATTTTTATGAAAAGCTTTCTATTATGTCCACAAAGTCCCTTCAATAAAATAAAACTTATAGCTAAGAATCCCCTTATAGATGTATAACTAAATCTCTCATAAACCTTAAATAATTACTGTTCATATGCAGAAATCATTCTCTACAGCGGAAGACCAAAATGAGTCATTTTATGCTCTGATGAAAAACTAAAGTAACTTTTCTTGTCTTCAATTTACTTAGCATCATCACCAAATATGAAAATCCTCCACAAGAGAACACTGCTGGTCCCTCCGACCAGAAAACAGTGTTTCAACTCTTTATGTATTTAAATGCACAAACTATAGATTTTAGAAATGGATGGGGCAGCAGTGAGAGAGAAAAGGGGAAGAAATAAAGTTAAGCTGACAAAGACCACATAAGTCACCTTATTTATGCCTCTTTTATAATCATCAATGGCCCAGGACATTCAAAGAGCAGTATTGATTCTACATCCAGTTTGGCACGGATACTCTGACAAGTTCTAGGTCCACTGTTGGGATTTATTTTCTTATCAGCTGCCCTCACAAACATCTAAGAATGACACCTTCACACTAATGCACATAAGATAAAGTTAAATAAATTATTTTTAAAAAAGGAATTATTACTAACAGACATTAACAACTAGTGAACCGACATTAGCAACTAATGAACCAACTCCATTCAATGAATTATCTTGTGTCTCTTATTTCTGGTACAAATCAATGCAACTGCTAGTGAACCCACAAAATGAATAGCAGCGTTCCTATGATGGAAGACCACAAGAGCTCACTGTCCTTCCTAGATGCTAAGAAATAATGTCCCTTAATGGGGACTCAGAGGAGAACAGAACATAAGCACAGCACTGCAATAGCCATCGAGTTCTTCATCCAAAAGCCCTGTTCTTGTGCTCTGTGCTCCTCCTCTTGAGACTCATGGAGAATGACCCAGGCATGCACAGTCCTCCACTCCCCTGCTAAACACCTTCCAAAAGAACATCCAATGCTCAAAAGGCAAGTGGCAGGAACAGCAACAGTTCGAGTTCAGATTTCAAAAAGTGCATTGCTTTAGAAGAGCATCCCAGTGGTCCTTCCCACCCTGAGAACTTCAATGCTAGATTTGCAGGGAACAGTCTATGGGCTTCTTATGAACAAAGGAAAGAAAACAAAAAAAGAAGAAAAGAGAAAGAAAGAAAGAAAGAAAAAGAGAGAAAGACAGAAAAAGAGGAAGAAAGAAAGAAAGAAAGAAAGAAAGAAAGAAAGAAAGAAAGAAAGAAAGAAAGAAAGAAAGAAAGAAAGAAAGAAGGGAGGAAGGGAGAAAGAAGAAAGAAAGAAAAGAAGGAAGGAAAGAAGGAAGGAAAGAGAAGAAAAGAGAAAGAAAGAGAAGAAAAGAAAAGAAAAGAGAAGAAAAGAAAAAAAGAGAAGAGAAGAAAAGAAAGAAAAGAAAAGAAAAGCCCTGTCATGGAGGCCTGAAAGAAAAAGAGCACAAGCTAGTGCAACTCACCTGCCTGGTATAACCTTACCCCGAATTGAAGCAGTGAGAAACATGATTTCTGGCAATTCCCATTCATAAATAATCTATATTTTGGAACAATGGAGTTTCTCTTTCTAAAACGAGTCTATTACACAGAACAGCAAAAACTAAGCAATAAAAAATTTTAGAAGCTTTTGGATGCTTCATCTCTCCTCCTAAGGTCACTTGTCTTAAGTGTCACTTGGAAGAGCAGTTATCTTTCTGTAGACTACTCTAATCCCTTCTCTTCCCACCCAAACACACACAACGCACCCACCTGACATTTTTGCCTTGCTCAGTAAGCATCTTCACCAGGTCAGCAATGGGGTACTGAGCTTTGGCTGCGCACAGGCCGTATCCTGGGAGGGAACATTCAAAACCAAAGAATGTGCTTTTGAAATCTTACAGGTTATAACCTCCCTCTTGATCAAAACATATTCCAATGTATTCCTGTACCAACACAGGCAATAAACCAGACTAAATGAGAGCAGATTTATAATCTAGACTTTATATATATATATATATATAAATGTAAAAAAAAAAAATATATATATATATATATATATATATACATTTGAAACTCAAAATCTAATGACCCCCACAACCTCCCAATAAGTCACATGCTACAAAATGTCCTTGCTCTGCTCCATGCACACACTAGTCTATGCCCACTCTCCTCTGTTTTTAAATCCTGAATAAGTGTCTTCGATCACTCCTACAATGTCAGCCCTGTAGGATCACTCCTGGCTTTGTTACTATTCTTCCTCTACCACCTTGAATAGTTTTTCTCCTTCTGTTCTCCTCCTTGAATAGCCAGATCTTTCTTGGAGGCTTTCAATGTGTTCCTCACCTCTCCTCAAATCTTAGTTAACTTGACCCCAGGACTTCAGCAACTGTGCTGAGTCCTGCTGGCTCGACCTGCAGTCTGAGCTCTAGTGCAGCATGACCGTGGTCCAAACCTAATGTCTTCAAAGAAACAGAACTGAAAAGTTTTCTCATCCAACTCTACTCCCATGCTCAGATGAATAAGAATGGTCTTTCCTACTTGAGGTTTGCATCAGTGTAACCAAGAATGTCAGCCATCTCCTTCTCCTTTCACTCTAAGACTATGTCCATAGTAGCTGCTCAGCAACTCGCATCTGTTCATTCTTTCCTAGCCCTTTTTTACAAATGCCAACTGTTTGCTCTAGCTAGCATCACCTCTGCCTTTTTCTACCCACAACACCATCCATCTTCTAAAGCTCAAAACAGATCCTAACTTCCCTTTGTTCCTTCTTAGGTTCCTCATGAGGAGAAAAAAAAATGTCTACAACACCTCAGCTTAACCACTGTCATAACACACGTGCCATTATTTATCTCCCTATCTGACTTCTAAACTGAGATACACAGTGCCTGTTTTGTTTTGCTTTTGAGACAGGGTTTGTCTGTGTAGCCCTGACGGTCCTGGAACTCGCTCTGTATATTAGGCTGGTCTCAAACTCACAAAGATCCACCTGCTTCTGCCTCCCACGTGCTGGGATTAAAGGCATGAACCATCACCACCCAGTAGCATAGCTTCTCAATAAGATGTGCAGTTGTCTTCGGCTAGGAAAATCCACTGTGCAGGTGTATCCTATACATTACACTGTGTTTCCACACACTATGCAGGTGTGTCCCGTACATTACAGTGTATTTCCTCACACTGACTGGCAGCAGTAGTCTCAGCCTGAAACAGCCAAAATCCACCATTCAAACGTCTTAAAGAGTAGCACTATCCTATATTGAAGTTCATACTGAAATATCTAGTTTGCCTTAAATTTGTTACTTCTATCATAGTATGTTCTCAACCTGTAAATTGCCCACGTATCAAGTCAGTTGTCTTCCTTCATGGAAAACTCCTATAATGGCATGACAGAGTTAAAATCCTAATCTGACATTCTGTGACAATCATGAAAAACTGAGCTAAGTCACATATATTAGAAATGGAGACCAGGATATATTAAATGAGTTAGTCTATATCACATAGACTAACTTGTTTGTCAGAGGCAAACAACAAGAGTGACATACTGGGACTCTTATGACCAGTTCATTTCAGTCCATTGCCTCAATCTCTCAGCCAAGAGTACAAGATGAGCTCTTTCTCCTAAGTCATGCTGTCTAACTTGATCAGAAACCACTTATTAAACTAGCATAACCCATGACAACAATCTAGGCATCTGTCCTTATGCCCACTACAGTCCTCACCTCTCGTCACAGAAACTTCGTTTTGCAGGAAGCAGAGACCATTACAGAAAACCACAGAGAACTTTTTAAACAGCCGATTTTTGAAAGGAGACTAACACTTACTGAGTCTAAGGAATGAGTCAAACACTTCCACATGCTATACCTAATTTAATCTTACATACCCTAACGTTGACAAAAAACAAACAAAAATAAAACCAACACTTTACAATAGCTTAACACGTGTACAGAAGCTTGAAAAGATGGCTAGAGCCACTACCTTGATTGATAGAATATTTATGTTATTCTAAAATACTAAGTAAAGGGAGGGTTCTCAGTGTTCTCACTCAGTGACCATTCAGTTGCTACTGTTTCCATTACGTTTCCATAAATAAGGAGGTTTTTATGACTAGACAGGTCATAGGCCCTACAGGAAACCCTACTGCTATTAGGCTGCTAAAGACTCCTAAAGACTTATTTTTGTTCCCATAGAGCAATGCATCTCTCAGCCCTATCTGGGAAGCTTCAACTTGCACTGTGATTAACACGCTGATTCACAACTGCTCAAGGTGTAGAGAATAAGAGACTGCACAGTCCTCAGCTAAATGGGGCGTGTTTCCTGCAGCCCCTCCTCCCAAGGCTCAGGGATCATTGTAGAAGGAGCAGAACGTGTCAGTAAGAGTCAGAATGCGTGTTTGACGACAAGGGGGCTCTATCTTCTGGGCTCAGCAGGGCAGCTGCAGCTGCACATACAAATTCACAGTGGCTGTCAAAAGCCCAGGCAAATCCTAACATGGAGGTGGGAGTCGAACACAAAGTCCCACTCCTGGAAAATACTCCGGTGGAAAACCATACGTCCACCAATATTTAGGGGGCACAAATTGGTCTTGATGAGTTAAGCAGAAAAAAAGAAAACCCACAAAGGTGGGAAAGTAGAAAAGGGAGATGAATGGAGGAACGGCTGGAGGTGAATATGATCAAAAGCTGATGACATTCTCAAAGAACTAACAAAAAGGTTTAACGAGGAGGTGTCAATTTACCTTTTTCCTATTATTCAATGTATTTCAATGTATTCAATGTAATCAATTATAACAGCAATTATAGGTTGTTCTGGGGTTTTTTAGATGTTACCTTTATTTATACTTTTTACCTGGAGTAATAACAATGCTATTAGCTTCCCGTATCATCTCAACTGCATTGTCAAGGTTGATTTCTGTATGTGTGCCAGAAATTTCCATGGGCTTTCCACCAGCTGTTGAAGTTGTACCATAGCCTCCAAGAATCACATTAGCCAGGGAGCGATTCATTGCCTGAAGAGAAAAATTGTCCCCCATGAGAGCTCACTTCATGAAATTCTTTGAAAGTAGCATGAATTTCATATACATGAACCACATCATTTTTAAGGAATTTATTTAACTAGTTAAAGAATTTTAGCCAGAGGTGACTTCTAAGTTTACTTCAAAATTTAAATAATAGAAACATCTAAAAACTGTACCAATTTTCCAATCAGGTCAATTGCACACTAATATGTTTTCAGAAAAAAAAATTTTAAACAAATATTTTAATGTAAATTATATGTAAAATGTAGAAATTAATGAAATTTTAGATGTACTATTATCCTCTAGACACTGAATAACCAGCTTCTCTCTCCATATTATTATGGACTTCACCAGAGTAAAAGAGAACAAGAGATCTGCAAGAAGAAAAAAAATTCATGAAATGACCTTATGTATCTCTCCAGTAGATTTCTGCCACTGCATCTAAGCTGTCAAAAGACAACCAAAAGGAATCCAAATGATATTTACACATTTCATTTAGAACTCCACAGCTCTTTGCATTCAAGAAAAAAAAAAAAAAACAATAACAGTGCGACTCTTACTTTCCAAGTCCATTATAGCTTCATGAAATCTTAAACCTGATTATCATAGAAGCTGAAGGATTCAGCCTTAAGATTCTAAAATGTTTCACCTGCAAGGAGGTGGACGAGCAAGGTGATGCACTCTTTTGGCTGGTGCCCACCCTTTTCACCAGTAAGATAATCTCAAGAGAGAATTCAGAGAAGGCAACTCTCACTCACTATATGTGATTATATATCATCCAAGAATAAACCTTAGAAATGCCCCAACTAGACTGTAAGACAGTGAGGCGCCTACTTTTGTAAAGAATAGCTGCAGGGGAGATGGTAAAGGGAGAGAAACTAGATGTTTTGAAAAACAAAATACTTTCTTTCTTTCTTTCTTTCTTTTTATTTATTTCTTTCTATTTATTCACTTTGGGATGCTGCAGCCCCCTCCCTCGTCTCCGCCCCGTCCCACCTACCCTCCCTCTTCTCCCCTAGTCCTCCTGACCCTAGCCTATCAAGTCTCTTCAGGGCTGGCTGCAACATCTTCCTCTGTGGCCTGGCAAGGCTGCACTCCCTGGGAGAGGGGGTGGTGAACAAAGAGCCAGCCACCGAGTTCATGTCAGAGACAGTCCCTGTTCCCTTACTAGGGTACCAACTTGGAAACTGAGCAGCCTATGGGCTTCCTCTGAGCAAGGAGTCTAGTTCCTCTCCATGCATGGTCCTTGGTTGAAGTATCAATCTCTGCAGGACCCCCTGGATCCAGGTATTTTGTCTCTGTTGGTCTCCTTGTGGAGTTCCTGTCCCATCCAGGTCTTTCTATCTCCCTCTTCTTCCATAAGGTTTCCTGCACTCTGCCCAAAGTTTGGCTGTGAGTCTCAGTATCTCCTTCAATACCCTGGTGGGTAGAGTCTTTCAGAGGTCCTCTGTGGTAGGCTCCTCTCCTGTTCCTTGTCTTCTCCTACTACCGATGTCTATCCTGTTTGCCCTTCTGAATAAGAATTAAGCCTCTTCCCTAGGGTCCTCCTTGTTGTTTAGCTTTTTTAGGACTAGCTTTTAGTATGTTTATCCTATATTATAATTATCATATTATATATATATAATTATATACTACATATATAATTATTATATTATAAGTGGCTAATATCCACTTATAAGTGAGTATATACCATATGTGTCTTTCTGCTTCTGGGTTACCTCACTCAGGATGATCTTTTCTAGTTCCCACCATTTGCCTGCAAATTTCATGATTTCTTTGGTTTTGATTGTTGAGTAGTATTTCATTGTATAAATGTACCACATTTTCTGTACCATTCCTCTGTTGAGGGACATCTGGGTTGTTACCAGATTCTGACTATTAAAAATAAAGCTGCTATGAACATAGTTGAGCAAATGTCCTTATTCAATGGTGGGGCATCTTTTAGATATATGCCTAGGAATGGTGTAGCTGCATCTTGAGGTAGCACTATTCCTAATTTTCTGAGAAAGCACCAGATGTGATTTCCAAAGTAGTTGTACAAGGTTATATTCCCATCAGCTTTGGAGAGTGTTTAAAAATTCAAATTACTTACTGTTTTAATTAGGATTTTTATTGCTGTGATAAAATACCATGACCAGAAACAACTTGCAGAGGAAAGGGTTTATTTTGCTTACACTTCCACATCACAGTCCATAACTGAGGGAGTTCAAGGCGGAAGCTGATGCAGAGGCCATGGAAGAGTGTTGCTTACTGGCTTGCTCCTCATAGCTTGCACAGTCTGCTTTTTTATAGCTCCCAGGACTATAAGCCTAAGGATAGTACCTCCCAAAGAGAGCTGGACCCTCCCACATCAAAAATTAATCAAGAGAAATGCACCACAGGCTTGCCATAGACCAGTCTGGTGGGGGCATTTTCTCAGTTGAGGGTCCCTCTTTCAAAATGACAATTGCTTGTATAAAGTTGAAATAAAACTACTCAATGCACATACTATTCATGAATCGAAGCATTTTACATGATGAGTACTTCATGGGAAGAAAAACACTCAAAAACTATTTAAAACTTTTTAATGGTTGCAATCCATTATATCACTTAAAAGCTTACAATTATCAATCTATTATCTTGATATTATCTTGTTTAAATGCAATAGTTTATTTAAAACATTTTTTTTAATTCAGAGATCTTCAATAATGCCACATCAGAATTAACAAGGTCATCCATACAACAGTAATTAGGCCAGTGGCAACCTTGTTGTGACATTTACACAGCTGGGGAGATCTAGCAATAGGAAAGAGGGGAAAAGGAATGTGGGAAACAGCCACACTTTAATAAATAACATAAATTTCAAAGATGATGGATAAGGGGATAAGAGAAATTTTGATGCTTTGAATTAACATCCTAATCCCAGCCTGGCAGGAAGTTTATAAACTCCTGATAAAAACTGAAACAGTCATAACTGGGACTCCCCAAACATTCAGTTTTTAATGTCTATAAATCTTTTCTAGTTTTTTTACAAGATGCTGGAATTTAACTCTCAAAAAATATGGTCCACTAAACTCTTGCCATTAAATATTAATTTTAAGGCTGGTGAGATGGCTCAGCAGTTAAGAGCACTGGCTGCTCTTCCAGAGGTCCTGAGTTCAATTCCTAACAACCACATGGTGGCTCACGGCCATCTATAAAGGGATCTGATGCTTTCTTATGGCATTCAGGTATACAGATAGACAGAACACTCCTACATTTAAAAAATAAATAAATAAATCTTTTAAATTAATTTTAAAAGCCTATTTTTGAGGGCTGGAGAGATGGTTCTGTGGGTGGGAGTGTTTGCTGAGCAAGCATGAGGACAGTTTAGTGCCTAGGAGCCCCTCCACCCACCCACCACCAGACCTAGGCCTGGTTTCACACTCTGCAAACTCAGCACTGAGAACAGAGTCCATACATCCCTTCCTCAGAGGATCAAGGTAGAAAATGAGAAATAAAGCCGCTTGTTGCCCTTTCTACCCTCCATACATATAGGCTCCTGCTCTCCCTACACACAGATGCGTATAAATCATACATGCATACACCTCTCTCTCTCTTTCTTTCTCTCTCTCTCTCTCTCTCTCTCTCTCTCTCACACACACACACACACACACACACACACAACTATTTGGACAGTCCTGCTACAGAGAACTTTTCTCTGATGGACAAAGAGCTCACGTCCCTTTACAACAGAAGCATATGAGGCAGAGGACAGAAGCATTATCATTCTAACTTGGCTTAAGAAAATTCACTGTTTGTCCTATAAAACTGAACAGGAGAGGAGGAAAAAAAATCTGAGGACATTTAATTAGAGTATACTCACTTGGGATGGAACTTAGAGAGAAAAAATAGTGACTTAACAATCAAGGTCTATTTCTTAAACACATAAGCAAAATTATATCACCATTATGCTAATTCAATGTGGTCTCTTAAAAATTATATTACTTTTCATCTCTTAATTTTCTATTGCAACATTGTGTTCACAACAAATGTTTAGGGTTTACAGCTTTGTGCCTCCTTTTTATTTTATTTGCTTCCTTATGTGATTCATGAGACCATCTTGTGACCACTTATCCACAGAATAAGGGGTTCCCAGATTCCAAGACCAAAAAAAAAATAATTGACACACTGTCCAAGCCTGCTTCTTTTGAGCCAATAAGCCCTAAAATGAAAGTTATGTACTACATTAAAGAGATCATTAACTCCCATAATTCCAGCTACACTAAAAGACATTAGTCTGAAGACAAAAGTAAGGTCATAAAATACCCAAAACTGAAGCAATAGTATATATACTATTTAGTGCTGTCTCTTGTCTCAATGCTCTGTCAATTAATCAATCACAAAAAAAGATAAAATAAAATTCTATTTGGCCTGGCTTTTGACTTACTTCATCCTGCTCTAATTCCATTTGCAAACAAAGAGGAGAGGGTTTTCTTTGCTGAAAAAATGCCTTCTCAGTTTGGTAAGAGCTCCCTCTCCCAGCTAATGGTACAAGCAGAGAGATTACAGAAGCACAAAGAGGTTGACTATTGTAGCCTGGCATAAAGAAAATTATGGCTATGCGTTTGCTGTTTGGACAATGTCAACATTTTCAGTTGTTATTATATGGCCTGTTGTGTAACCCCAGCACAGGACTCAGAGGGTTCCCAAAGGAAGTCATTGTCAAACAAAACTTTGACTTTGGAGATTGTTGGTTAGTCCCTTGGGGAGCATTCCATTTCTTCCCACATAATGAAACCACTCTGCTTTGGTTTGGACTGACATGTTTGCTCCAGTAAACACCAAAGAAGACCAATGGCACTGGTACCATATGGACTCTAATTGCATCTGCTGCTTTAACCCATCCATACAGGACTCCAAAATAACAAGCCAACAAAACAGTCCTTTGATGTCCATTAATGAACAGGCAAGGTTCATTGACCAAGAAGCGTGTTCATTTGACTATGCCAAGTGCTAAGTCAGGCTTCATA